TGTGTGTGTGTGTGTGTGTGTGTGTGTGTGTGTGTGTGTGTGTGTGTTTTGGAGGGAATGTTAGGGTACTGTTGGGGTGTGTGTTGGAGGGAATGTTGGGGTGTTTTGGGGTGTGTGTGTGTGTGTGTGTGTGTGTGTATGTTCAGGTGGGGGGTAAGTGGTGACTGAGCATGCTCAGCAGTTCTGACACTGTGAAAAGTGCTGTTTCACGCTGAACAAACTGATGGTCCTATCAGGAGGTGGTCCCCTTCCTCTGCATCGTGCTAAATGAGATTCGTGTCCAGACTTGCTTCTGCTTTCTTCCTCTGTCTGTGAAGTCTGTAGTGATGGCCCCTGTGTCCTCGCTGATATTGACAGCTCACATCTCCTCACAGTGCAGAGAGCTGGCTGCTCTGTCATCACAGCATGCCACTTGAAGGGCAGCGGTTCAGCTTTTTAAAGAGACAGCGTTGTTTCTGGTTGTAGCTCATCATTTATGTCTACAGGTGGCTTGGAATTTATTTCAGTCTTCTTCCAGGCTTGGGGTAGGATCCTGCAGTAGCCACTTAAGACTATTCTTTAATAATATGCTTATTTATTTAGTGGGGTTTTTTTTAGACAAGTTCGCAGTCTTTATACAGTTCTGACTGTCCTGAAACTCAGTATGTAGCCTCGGCAGCCTCAAACCCACAGTGATCCTCCATACCTGGCTTATCAATAATACGCATATTTGTTATTGAATGCTACCAATTTTCCTCCCACTCCCCCCCTTGTTTAATGTGTCCTACAAATTCTGATATGCTGCACTTCCATTTTCATTGAATATAATGTCTTGTACTTCCTGTAACACCTCTTTGGTGACTTGTGGGTCATTCAGAAATACTAAGGAGTTGTTTGGTTTCCGAGTGTTCCAGGAGTGAGGCGGTGGGTCAGGACAGCCCCTTCAAGTGGCTCTGCAGACCTGAGTAGATTGGCCAAAGCCTGACAGCCCTCATCACCTTGCTGCTGTCAGGGTCACCATCCCCTGCCCCTCCAGGCATGGGCCCCTGAATGAGGCACAGATGTTCCAAGCCAGTCTTCCTCTTTTGCAGGTCAAAACCACCTTGGATTCCATGTCCCAGAAGATAGCTGCGTTCACAGATGTCGGCAACAGCCTGGCCCATGTGCAGCACCTCCTGAAGGACTTGACCACCTTTGAGGAGAAATCCAGCGTGAGAGCCGGGCACGGGTGGAAGGGAACGAGTCACAGCATCATCTTACTGTGCAGAGGGCACAGGACTGAGTTTTCCCTTGAGCACAAGCTCCTGTGGTGCCTAAGGGGTAGCACAGGCCGTGCACAGGGACCCCTAAGTGTCCTCCGCCATCTCAGGCATACACCGGGTCCTCCACGGGCCTCTGTCCAGCTCTGTCATTAACCATTGACTTTCAAACCTGGACGTACTTACTGTATGCCTGGGCAACCCAACACCTTCCAGACTCCCACGACCTTTGGCCTCAGGCAGCCTTAGCAGTCCACAAACTCCACGCCCATCACCCACCTTCATGACAGACACCAATAGGACCAGGTTTATCACTTGTCTCTCCACAGGGGACTAAACAGACTACCTTGATGTGTCATGCAGGTGGCTGTGGACAAGGCCCGAGCCCTGTCACTGGAAGGTCAGCAGCTGATTGAGAACAGGCACTACGCTGTAGACTCCATCCACCCCAAGTGCGAGGAGCTCCAGCACCTCTGTGACCACTTCGCCTCGGAGGTCACCAGGAGGCGGGGCCTTCTCAGCAAGTCCTTGGAGCTGCATAGCCTCCTGGAGACGGTAGGACACCCAACTGGACTTAACCAGACAACCAGAGCACTCCCCGCCTCTCCATCCTCCATCTTGTCCCCTCAGAGCCTCGGTCCCCATGCACTCAGTGTCCCAGTAATGACCTCTCGGGCTCTCTGTTAGTCCTGCTTCATTCTGATCCCCTCTCCTTTGGTGAGCTCAGCCCCAGAAACCTAGTCAGCTTTGCAATGTCACGTCCCTCCAGGCACCCTTTGGCAGGGCATCTCATCTCCTGCAGGCGAGTCAGACAGGAGGCAGGCGTGGGGAGCACAGGGTCCACAGGCAGCCACACGGGGAAGGATGGGGCAGCTGGTGCTGAGGCTGACACCTTCCTTGTTTCCAGTCCATGAAGTGGAGCGACGAGGGAATCTTCCTGCTGGCCTCGCAGCCTGTGGACAAATGCCAGTCCCAGGATGGCGCGGAGGCGGCCCTTCAGGAGATCGAGAAGTTTCTGGAGACTGGTGCAGAAAATAAGATTCAGGAGCTCAATAAGATTTACAAGGAGTACGAATGCATCCTCAACCAGGACCTTCTGGTAACGCCAGCCTGGGTTTCTATCTCCAGATGATAGCCTGGGGACTGGGGAGCCATTTCACAGGAAATGTCAAAGAACATGTTTTTGAGGTGCTAAGGATTGAACCCAGGGCCTCACACATGCTAGGCAGTATCAGTGAGCTATAACGTCAACCCCAGAAGAGCCCTTTGAGTAGGAGATCGGGGCTGGCGGGTAGAAATTCAGAGATGGGAACGTCAGGCTCAGCCCTTCCTCCATCACAGAAGTTATCCCGAGCCACTACCTCCCCCAGCATTGCCTGAGATAGGCGTGGGGTTGTGGTGTGGCGTTCACTGGAACCCTGGTCACACCACGGTACCTCAGGTGTTACACGAAAGACTGGCTCCCCCCTTTTGTCCCCAGCCTGCTGCCCTAACTCCACTTCTGCGGCTATAGGGAGAGATGGATCCCCCACCCACAGCCATCCTTTCCAAGTTCTGGAGATGGCTCCCCGTCCTGCTGGGGATCTCACACAGCTCTCGCTGACTGACCAGAGCTGGTACAGCACAGTGCACAGACACTTCTCACTCACCTGAAGCAGAGGAGGCTGTAGCCGCTGACACATACTCTCTGGACAATGGGGTGTTTTTAAGGGGCTGGAACTGACATCTGTATGGTGTCTCAGAAGCCCTGTCATTTCAGGAACATGTGCAAAAAGTCTTTCAGAAGCAGGAGAGCACAGAGGAGATGTTTCACCGCAGGCAGGCCAGCCTGAAGAAACTGGCAGCCAAGCAGACACGGCCTGTGCAGCCCGTGGCCCCCCGACCAGAGGCACTCACCAAGTCCCCCTCCCCCTCGCCAGGTATACTCTTCCTCTCAGGCAGCCAAGTCCTGTTGCCATGCACTTCCTGCCCTCCCTGGCCCAGTTCACGGTCAGCAGCCTGCAGTTCTGGCTTATCCCGTTACCCATTTTGATGAGTTTTACTAGGACAGGGCCTCACTCTGCCACGTATCGTCAGCTGTGGCTGCTTTTATGACGTGGCCACAGCAGAGTTGCATTCTTTCAGCTGAATTCTGGTGACCTGCAGAACACTGACTGAGAAATTAGGAAAGGTCCCCAAGTCACTTCCTCTGACCCATTCCCTCCCTCCCAACCATCCATCCATCCATCCATCCATCCATCCATCCATCCATCCATCCATTATCTGTGCCTTTGCCAGAACTGTGCCCCTGGATGAGCTCTGACCTCTTCCCGAACCCTCCAGGCTGTCACTAACTATGGGACCCCATGGGCTGCAAAGGGTGTCATGGTCTGCTGGCCCTTACTCACCTTGCTTGGAGACTTCCTCCTCCCTACATCAGGCAAGCAGTCTTTTCCGTCCAAAAAAAAAAAAAAAACAGAGATGAACAGACTTCTGTGTTGGCCAATGGCAGCCACAAACGTCCTGAGGAAGGCACCCACATAGGCCTGTGTGTTGGAGGAGAGGTGGAGAGTTGGCCCAAGCAAGGGGCTCCAAGGTTTCTAAGGTGCCAGTGAGAGTTCCCTCCCTCTTGTCCACTGTCTCCTGTCAGGTATAGCTATTCCCAGTCTAGTGGCTGCAGCAGCTCCAGCCGACATCCCTCGCCCACCGATCACCTCTCCCATCTTTACTGTTGTAACCCTTCCTTCTCTTCCCTTTCCCTCGGGGCACAGTTCTGACAGCGCTAACGCCCTTCTCTGCCCCTTTCTATGCCAGGCTCCTGGCGGAGCTCCGAGAACTCCAGCACTGAGGGCAGCGCACTCCGCAGAGGGCCCTACAGGAGAGCCAAGGTGAGGCTCATGCCTTGATGACCCTGCATGTGCCTGTCGGAGCCATAGCAAAGCAACTCAGCATCCTCCTTTGGTCTGACCCGGCTGTCCACATGCTGTGGTCTGACCTGGGTGTCCACGTGCTGTGTCTCTGGGTCTCCTGGGCTCTGGGGCATCTACTTGCCCTCCTCAGGCTCTATTCCCGATGGGAAACCAGGCCGGGGGGCCAGTGCCTGAGGAAGCACTTTCCATCCTCAAGCCTAGCATGCTGTTCTCTCCCCAGAGCGAAATGAGTGAGCCCCGGCAGGGCCGCACCAGCTCCACAGGGGAAGAGGAAGAGAGCCTGGCCATCCTGCGCAGGTGAGTGGCCGTACTTCTGACCAAGCTGGGGGAGTGAGGGGGGTTGTGAGTGTCTGGGTATTGGCAACAGGAAGGTGGTAAGCAGCACTTAGACCTTGGCATACAGAGCAGGAAGGAAGCCCACGTCGTGTATATGACAACTGAAAACAAACACATGAGCTAGAGGACACACTTGCACACACTCACCCCTGTCCGGGCTGGGCAGGTGACCATCTGAGCCCTTACTGTGTAGCCTACCTTCTGCTCTTTGGAAACACATACCTATCATAAGGGCACCTGCAGAGTAACGGCCAAATGCTCTGACATACTGAAGGCTTGCACTCAGAATGTCCCCACTGAAACCTGCCTGTCCATCACCTTCACTCATGAAGTGTCTGAGCACCATATAGGCCAGACTGTGTGAACACAAGAGGATAAAATTTCAGAGAAGAAAAAACACGCAGGGGTGTGTCAGCCAGGAGCTGGGGTCATGACCTCAGGGATGGAAGGAAAGGGTCAACCCTGCATTGTCCTAACTATTCGTATTTGCTCTACATACAGTAAGAATGAAGAAATGCTCTTGGAAGCACATGAGCAAACAGTGTACACAGGCAACACGTTTCCAGATGTCCCAACAAGCTCAGCAGTGTCCCTCTTAGGAGATGCAGGACAGTGAATTATGGAACTAGAAACCAGCTGAGAGGAACATTCTGTCATTTCCAGCTTCTGATGCAAGATGAGGGCAGGAGGCAGAGAGGCGTAGACAGTGGAGAAGCTTCCAGGCAGGGCAACACACGGGGCCCTGAGATGGAGGTGCCTCCCGTGTGCCCATGAAGTATGTGACTGAGGAACAGGCCCAGGGCTCTTTACTCTGCTAAACCAGTCTCACACACGCAGCCTAGTTACTCGGCTATTGGCAGCTTTAAAATAGTCCACGCCCGGGTCTCAGTCCGATACTCCAGGGGCTGTGACCTCTGTGGATGAAATGGACAGATTGGCTATAGGCAGGCAATCCTTGTGTCTGAAAGGCATGGGTGGCTGGATGCTTTGTAAGCCTGTCCTCATCTCCTCCTGGGCCTACAACTGCTAGGTACACTGCTGGGCTGCAGGTGGTCCCCATGTAGCTCTCACGTGCATGGTCAGAGCTGGTAGAGAAACTGAAGAGCCGCACCTATTCAGAGTCTCTGGGGTAGGGGTTAGAAGATCTTGGTAAAGAAGTCTTGGTGAGACTCTGATGGCATGTCAAGGAAGCAGGGGGTGTCTTGATTTGATAGTGTGTGTGCAGGTGGCATTGAGTTTGTACAGAAAGTGGATAGGGAAATCAATCCCAGAAGGCAGTGGGAGCTGGGCAGCCAGCTTCTTCCACACTCCACCTGTTGGGCAAGTCCTGGATGCCATGACTTCTCCATTCACAAATAAGTCTCCTCACTCGGCGACTCCAGATGACGCTCTCACGCTAACATCTCTGCTCTCCATGTTCCGTCCACAGACACGTGATGAACGAGCTCCTGGACACGGAGCGGGCCTACGTGGAGGAGCTGCTCTGTGTCTTAGAGGTGAGGTCGGCATGACCAACCTTGCCATCACACAATGGCACTTTTAAATTGTTGCTAGACAGTTGTTGATAAAGGCCAATATTTCCAGCCGCTCTGGAGACCAAGGCAGGAGGGTCATAGGTTCCAGACCTGCCTGGGCTATAGAGTGAGTTCAAGGCTAGTTTGAAAACCCCATCTCGCCGGGCAGTGGTGGCACATGCCTTTAATCCCAGCACTTAGGAGGCAGAGACAGGTGAATTTCTGAGTTCGAGGCCAGCCTAGTCTACAGAGTGAGTTCCAGGACAGCCAGGACTACACAGAGAAACCTTGTCTCAAAAAACAACAACAAAAAAAAACCATCTCAAAATAAAAACTGAAAAAAAAAACTTGCCTAGCCTGAGCCTGGTTTCATCTCCAGCACCACCAGTACACTCACACACACACACACACACACACACACACACCATACACACACATACACATACACACACACCATACACACACACACACACCATACACGCACATACACACACACACACACCATACACACACATGCTTATCACAAACACAAAGGACTTTTTTAAGTGCTGCTTAGAAGTGAAGACTTGTGCCCACGTGTATGAAAATGCTCATAGCCGGTTTACTTCAGACCCAAACCAAAAACAGCTCAAATGTCCATCAGCAGGGAGAACGGCTGGACCTGCACAGGAGCAGATACAAAAGCCACAAGAGCTGCCCACGCACATAGCAAACACACGGCCCACATGACCTCTGTGACAGCGATGGGGGTCATAGGAAACAGTCGTGCAGTTACGAGTGTGGAGGGGTACGCCCTGCAATCCTAGCACTCAGGAGCTAAGACTGGAAAACACCTGTGAGTTCAAAGCCAGCCTGGGCTACACAATGAGGTGTAGGCCAACATGGGCTGTAGGATGGGACCCAGCCTCATCTCTGTTACGTACACACACACACACACACACACACACACACTCACACGTGCGCACTCGCGCAAAGAAGAAAGAGAAAGTTCCAGAACAAGGCGGGTCTGGAGTAAGAGAACTTTGAGGAGGGGACCCTGGGTCCTGACTTCCAGGTAGTGACCTGGGAATTAAGAACAAGTTACTTCACACAGGAGCAGCACAGCCCCTGCCTTATGTAGGTTAGACCTGGATAGAAAGGTTAAAAAGGAAGACGGGAGCTCCACCTGCCTCCACACTGGGCACTGTCTATAGTCGCTTGTGTTTTGTGAGTCTTTTCCAGATGACCATTGCAGGCAAGCATGGACAGATAAAGGTAGCACCTCAGTTTTCATTGTCGCTGTGGTTCTGTGGATGGAACTCAGACAGCGTGCACGCCAGGCGAGCACTCACCACTGAGCTCACTTAAAGCTTCGAGGCAGTGTTCCTGGATCTCGATCCTCATGCTGAGGGATACCAAGCCTGCCATGCTTGCCGTCAGCTGCAGGCATGGCTCTCCTGGCTCACACTTCCTGTCATCAGACCGCCTCCTCCCCTCCCTCACAGGGTTATGCTGCAGAGATGGATAACCCCTTGATGGCACACCTCATCTCAACAGGCCTGCAAAACAAGAAGAACATTCTGTTTGGAAACATGGAGGAAATCTATCACTTCCACAACAGGTAGGACACTTCACCCAGACATGGACACATTCAGACACAGACACATGCAGTCATAGACGCGTGCAGTCCCTGTGATCCCTTGCTTCTGGCGTGGCTCCCTTCAGGGAGCAGGGATTCACAGCCCTGGGATATTGGCTGGGAACAAATCTCCAGGGAGAACTCCCAGAGAGCCACAGGTGCATGTTGTAGGTGCCCATGCTGCAGTCTCTCTCCGAGCACCCCTGTGAGCCCTCCTCCTGCTGGCTCATGCCTAAGGTGGCTGGGTAATAGGCTCACTGCCTGCTGGGGAGATAGGGTGCTGGGAAGCAGTCTGCCCTTCTGCTTCCTCTGTAGTACTTGGGACCTCCAAAGGCCAGGTCCTTCAGCAGGATCTCCAGGCTTCTAAAGGAGGCGGCTGCCCACCCCCTCGCCCACCCACCCCCACCCCGGGTCCTCACGAAGCTGCTCCTTTCCTGCTCAGAACCTTCCCTTTAGCATCACTGAGGCTAGTCTTTGACCTGACCCCAGTGGCTTCAAACTGCAGTGAACCCCAAACAGCCTTCCTCTCCTGGAACCTCCCCAGGGGACAGGTCAAGTCAATGTTTAGACAGGAGACATAGAGGGAGTTTAGTGGATTCCAGAAAACCCGCAAGCTCACAGCCAGCACATGGAGGGCCTGCAGAGCCTTTGAGTGTTCGGTCCCCATCTCTACCTGTCTCTCCTCTGCCCCAGGAAGGGTAGCTACAACTTCAGCATGAAGTACAAGGCCAGAGAAAGGGAGACAGCTGGGCTGTGGGCACTGAGGAGCCGGGGACAGGCATGGGCTGCAGGCTTCTGGGCCAGGTGGGGAGTCCTTGCCACACTGTCATCAGATTGTTCTGGGTCTCTGGAAGACAGTGTCATCTGATTCTGCTGTGCTCACTGTCTCACTAACAACCTCTCCATACAGAATATTCCTGCGGGAGCTGGAGAGTTGCATCGACTGTCCAGAGCTGGTGGGGAGGTGCTTTCTGGAAAGGGTATGTATCCCTAACTGCATGTGTCACAGGCAGTGCATCTCTCAGGACTCCTCCGAGGGGCCCTGAGTGTACATCACTAAGTATGTGGGGGTGGGGGCTGGTGCCTCCGGATAACACAATGTGTTTGGTGTGCCCTGCCTACCAAGGCTGCTAACCTCTACTGTCAGCTCCCACTGCAGCTGAAACCAGACACCACAGTGTCTCCAGTGTAGTGGGAAAGGAGGGGAAAGTGGGATCTTGCTTCAGAGGCTAAGGACTACTTCTGAAATAGAGGAAAACCATAAGGCACAAGGTTTGGGATTGCTGGAATCATCGTTTCTGAGGGCCGATGTGGACGAACTTTCCTTGTGGCTTGGTTCGTTGTTACCTCAGCCTCGCTTGCTGGATAACATTGGAAAAGGCGCTGGGCTGTCTCTACATCCGTCTTCTCCTCTTTAGAATCACAGGTGTTTCCCTCATAGGGTGGTGGCGATGAGTTTAAAAGAGGAGTGTGTGAGAATGCTCTGAGCAGAAGGAGCAGAATGCACACATAACTTCTCACAGAGCTGTGGGATATTGTCATGTTGAGCACTGTGAACGGTGTCAGATTCACACCTCCCTTCTGGGAGGTCACTGACAGGAGAAAACAGGGCACTGTCCTGAGCACCGTGATGTTTACCCTTGCTCTATGGTCCTCTGTGCCACAAACCATCAAGGGTATGTTCCCGAGCCCATTTCATGCCTCAGAACCATATGGCCAACACTGTCTGCCTTTCAAAACGTGTCTTAAACTGTATCTCCACACAATCTTTACCCCAGAGCCTCCTGCATTTTAGATCCACCCATACCTCAGGAACTTCTGTGATCTGTAGCCATGTGTATCCTATATCCATTAAAGACCCAGAGCCTGCTGTATCCCCAAATCATCTGCAACCACCAGAGAGCTCTATTCTAGACCTAGCTACACCCCAGGGCCTTCTACATCACCTGAGCACCCAGGAGCAGTTTGAGTATTTTACAAAATATTCAGGTTTATTTTTAATATGCATATATAAGTACCTGAATGAGTGTGTGTGTGTGTGTGTGTGTGTGTGTGTGTGTGTGTGTGTGTGTCTGTCTGTACAGAAGCCAGAAGCGGATGCTGTATTCCCTTTAACTGGAGTACAGTTGTGAGCCACCATGCAGATGCTGGGGACCGATCCTATGTCCTCTGCAAGAGCAACCAATGCTCTTAACCGCTGAGACATCTCTTCAGTCTTGCTCATGTGTGTTCTACAAAATAACCTATATAATTTGCAAAACTGCCTGAGAGCACCCTGAAATTTTATGGAAATAAACAGATTGGACTACGAACCACCTCTTGACAGAGCTCCCCCGCCCTCCAGGCTGTGAGTGGTCAGCAGTAAGGGGATTAGAATACGAGGCTCTGGTGTTGGTGACCAGCAATCCTAACTGGGAGAGTTGGCCTGCCAGCAGCAGCTTCAGCTCTGGGGTCTGTGCCCTTTGTCCCTCCTGGCTACAGATGGAGGAGTTCCAGATCTATGAGAAGTACTGTCAGAACAAGCCACGCTCCGAGAGCCTGTGGAGACAGTGCTCTGACTGTCCCTTCTTCCAGGTTGGTCCTGAGCCCCTCTCCCTCTTGTATTTCCTTCCCCGTGGCCTTGGGCAGAGCCATGGCCTGGCATGATCAAGTGTTTGGTGGTTGCAGGAGTGCCAGAAGAAGCTGGATCACAAGCTAAGCCTCGACTCCTACCTGCTGAAACCTGTGCAGAGGATAACGAAGTACCAGCTGCTGCTCAAGGTGAGCCTCCGAGGCCATTGCCCTGGGTCAGCCACACCTGCCTACCGGCCAAGTGTCTGCAGGGCTCACCGAGCCTAGACCCTAGGCCCAAGGGAACTCTTAGAAGCCACTTGCTGTGGCCCTGATTCATTGAACCATTTGTTTGGGCCTACTGTGTGCTAAACATTGTAGAGTGCCAGGTACCTGCCCATGGCCAGCTATACCAGGAGTCTGTGCTGATGGCTTATGGCCTCCCCATGGAGAGGATGAGAGCCGAGCCCTGTCTGTCCTGTTGGTCCCTAGCACAGTGGAGAGTGAGGAGTCTCTGGCTTAGAGTTAGCTCAGTGTGGCAGGACAGGAAAGGGTTTGTATCCCTGTGCCTTTAGCAGGGCCATGGAAGCAAGCGGGAGGCAAAGGCCCACCTTTCCAGCCAGGTAGCTCCTCTCCACAGAACCCAGCTGTCTGTCTGTCATCCCACCTTCTGGGAGGGTGTAAAGCGATTTCCTGACAAGCAACATGAATCTGGTGGTTGGCGTGTGTGCTGGTGTCTGTCCAGGGACCACACCAGCCTCCCAGGGACTTCATCTTCAGGCCTTGGCTGGTGTCTGGATCTGTCCGACAGTCAGCTGCTCATAGGGGAGAAGAGGGAAGCTCTTGGTATCTACCTGCATTCTCTCGTGTTCCCCTCAGGAGATGCTCAAGTACAGCAAGCACTGTGAGGGGGCGGAGGACCTGCAGGAAGCGCTGAGCTCCATCCTGGGCATCCTCAAGGCGGTGAACGACTCCATGCACCTCATCGCCATCACTGGCTATGACGTAAGGCCCCATGGCAGCACCATGGACCCATCTTGGTCCTTGTCTCATGAGCAATCTGATAGGGAAATCCTATCAGTACTTGCAAGCTCTCTGAGGCTTGAACACACGTGGCCCAGAGCTTAGGGCAGCCCCAGGCTCTGAGTCAGGAGCTTGACCACATGTAGAGCAGACCAAGACTGTTCCCCTAGGAGGGCCTCTCCAACAGGGATGTGCCTGAAACCTCTTTCCTGCCTACTTCCTGGACAGCAGCTGGGACCCTCTGTTTTTTGTGATAAGCTGTGTGGTCCAGTGGCTGGTGACAGGTGGCTGCCTAGGGTGAACTTCTCTGATTGGCCCACCTCAAGTCAACAGAGAAGGGTTTTGCTTCTCGGAATGTCCACTTGACATTCATTTTCTGTTTTATGTAATGACTCAGTTGTATTTATTTTTAATAGTTTTAGATTTATGACAGTAGAGTGTGAAGCTCAGATTCCCTAAACCCCATCCCTGCCTCTGCCTTGGTGACACACTTGTGACACCTGATAGGTCTGTGGGGACATGTGGTTAACTGAAGTCCACTGTGCCTTGGGGTTCCAAGTACTGCCGCTTCTCCACGACAGTTGTGTCTCATATGTCCTCCATGCCACGCCTCCTCTTTCCCCAGCCCCTGCAGCAGGGGAAATCCGCCCCTCTGGAATGTGCTGCAAGGAGACCCCTACAGTGTGCAGCCTTTCCAGTGTGCACAGGATGCCAGCCCACCCGAGTTCACCTGCCTTTCATGCCTAGCATGTGTCCTGTGTTCCAGGGAAACCTTGGTGACCTGGGGAAGCTGCTGATGCAAGGTTCCTTCAGCGTGTGGACAGACCACAAGAAGGGCCACACCAAAGTGAAGGAGCTGGCCAGGTTCAAGCCCATGCAGCGGCACCTGTTTCTGCACGAGAAGGCCGTCCTCTTCTGCAAGAAGAGGGAGGAGAACGGGGAGGGGTACGAGAAGGCCCCTTCCTACAGCTACAAGCAGTCCTTGAATGTGAGTGACTCGACCAGCACTGGGAGGGGCTCCCCATCCTTACCCCTTACCCCGCCCCCAAGGGCTCCATCAGCTTCCACTGTTTCTGGGCGAGATGCACGCTGATGCCTGTCTGTTCCTACCCCTGCCAGATGACGGCTGTCGGCATCACAGAGAACGTGAAGGGTGACAGCAAGAAGTTTGAGATCTGGTACAACGCAAGGGAGGAGGTTTACATCATTCAGGTACGGCCACTCACCTGCCCTGTAAACCAGGAGTCAAGGATGCCCTTGGGCCTCTTCAGGGTGGCCAGCGAGAGGCTTCCAGTGAGAACAGTCTTCATGAGGTACATCCCCCAGAAGCAGGAGCTACCATACTGGGACACAAGATGTGCTAGGCACAGGATGTAAATTGGGAACAAGTTCAGCTAGGGTACTAGAAAGGTACTTCCAGAAATGCCTCTGCCTCCCACACCTCTCAATAGCCCTGGAGGACTTTCTCCACACAGCCCTGGTGGAATGTATGGCACACCTGTCCTTATTGGCCCATGGGAGAGAGGGCAGAGCTACAATGTAGGCTCAAGGGGTAGCATCCTATCCATGAGACATGTCAAGAACCTATGAATGTCAAGTATTCCATGAAGGTCCTAGCTCAACATGGCTGTGCTTTTCACTTGCCCTCATAATCACAAAGAAAGTTGACTACCGGCCAGCACACAGTGTAGTGTGCCTTCAAGTTTTATACCCAGCCCAGCAGGCCACACAGACCTGAATCAAGGTCTGGGCCCTGCAGCTGTCCTGACAATAGTATTCAAGCTGGGCTTCAGACCACGTTACTAACACAGGACAACAGTCCTGGCCACAGGTGACACTCTCAGCCTGGTCACACCCGTATGGCTGTCTGTGTGAGTCTGAGACCTGCTGTTGTGCCTATCACCTAAAACACGGTCAAATAGAGGACACTTCCGGGAGACCTGTCCTGAAGGTCTAGCCCAGCACACCAGCATCAGCAGAAGAGGTGGTCTCCCTGCTAGTAACTAGCTGTCTTTGCCGTGTCCTGGACACCTGCACAAACCCATGGCCTTTTGCTGCCAGTCCTGTGCTTCAGGGAGACCCCCAAAGGGACATTCCCAGCACCTGCTCCTACTCCATAGACAGGGGTCCCTTGGTTCCTAGGATTGTCCTTGAGAGTGTCTGGTGGAAACTGCAGTATGTTTTTCTTATCACTGGCTCCCATCTCTCCTTTGGGACAGGCACCAACTCCAGAGATCAAAGCAGCATGGGTGAACGAGATCCGGAAGGTGCTGACCAGCCAGCTGCAGGCCTGTCGGGGTGAGGCTGCCTTTGGCTTTTGTGTTTTCTCACGTGCCGTTGTCAACCGTCCAAGAGCCTTAGCTTATGAGTGCAGCATTGCTCAGTTCCCACTGATAACTGGTACGTGTCCCTTGTCCCCACCCCCACCTCACCCCACAGAAGCCAGCCAGCACCGAGCCCTGGAGCAGTCCCACAGCCTTCCTCTGCCCGCACCCTCCAGCACCAGGTGAGCACATCAGTGTATCAGTCAGAAACAGAGTTTCTTACTGGGCATGCCTAGATTCCCAGCACACAGGACACCACAGCAAGATCTACTAAAGCTACAGAATAAAACTATCTCTAAAACATAAGAAAAAATAGCAGCACTTCTGTAAACACCACAGTGTACCGTGTCACTGAGAGGAGTTTGCACAAGGCCCTCCAGTGTCACCTGGAGGTTCTGTGCCAGTGGCTTATGCCTGAATGTCAGGCCTGAGGGTGTTGTCCCTAGCCCTAACTCCCTCCATAAGTCCCCTGCTCCACAGCTTCCTATTTGTGGGTTACCTCTCGTGATAGTCAGCATGGCACAGCCAGGTGACAGTTGGTCACCAACTTGAATAAGGGACGGCACCTGGAAGACAGTCTAGAAGCCAAGATGTCTTGATGCCTACTGTCCTCAGTCAGCTAAGACACTGACCAACATATTGTTTCTTTCTTTACGGGTCGCTGATGCCTTCAGTCCCACAAAGGGGAACACAAGAAATGTTAAGAAGCTCGAAGACCGGAAGACAGACCCGCTCAGCCTGGAAGGCTACGTGAGCTCATCCTTGCCAAAGCCCCCTGAGAAGGGCAAAGGTGAGTGTCAACCGCAGTGTGAGCCGCTCAGACACTGCTCCCGGAGCGCCCACCAGCCAGCATGGGAGAACCCAGGAACCCTTCATCACACTGGTCACACAGTAGGAGACCCCTCATTCATGGTCACTGGGTGCCTCCACCAGGTGCACCCTAGGATGTTCAACTGCTCTCTGCCCTCCTACCTGAGCATGGGGCCATGGCCCCCCCACACCCTGCCATCCTCCCTCCCAGATGCTATCTCTGCACTCTGTCTCTCCTCCCTCCTAGACGATGCGGTCCCTAGTTCTACCTCTGAAAGCTCTGCGCTTTCCAGAAAGCGCTTCACGCTGCAGGGCTTGGCTAACCTCAAAGGTCAGAAAGGTAAAGAGGCAGTGCCCCCACTGCCTTCTACACCATCTTCCTGTGGCGACCTCTGGTGCCACGTGCAGCCACACAAATCCATCTCCCACCCTGTCATTCGTGCCCACCAACGCTGTGCAGATACAAACGCCTGACGTTATCTTTTAGGGGTGCCTTTTGTATACAGAGAGAACCAGCTTAGTGAGTGCAGCCTCCTAAGAACTGGGGCTGTTAACCACTTTTCCAGCCTGTTGTCTTTCTTCTGCCCCTCCTCCCTCTGCCTCACCTCGCATTTTCCTGTCAGCATTGTGGGCCTCTGCCTTTCTTGCTGCCATGACCTTCGAGTGCTGATTGTCATGGCCAAGTGTCTGGTAGGGTGTTTGCCAGTGAACAGTGGCAAAGAAGCCTGTTAACTGAGAACTGAAATAGTTTCGTCACCTGGAGATGCTCTTCCGTGACCAAAGCCCTGGCCTGCTTCCGTTCTGCACAGGGCTCCCTCCCAATGGTCCAGCTCTCCCCAAGTGACAGGCATGGGTCCAATGAATTAAAGTGTTTCCCAATTAATAATTCTTATCTGTCTTCAAACTTGAACAAAAGAAGCTTGTTCTGTTCCTGCGTTCTTTCTAAAGCAGAGCTGCAGGCAGCCCCTAAGAGGATGACTGACGGCTAAGGCCGCCATCTGCCACCTCCGCTCTCCGGGCCTCTCCCCTTCCCTGTGAGACCTTCACCCATTTCATCTCACGAACCGTTCACTTGCCTCCTCCCCTCACTGGACAGTTCTGCAGCTTTCTCTCTACTGTTGTATTTTTTGCTTCTTCCTCTTCCTGCAGCCTCTCCGACCAGTCCTGACAAAAAGGCTAAGCGACATGAAGTAAAGAGCGACCCGACTCCCTTTGGTTTGCGAGGTAGCGCTGCAGCCCCGAACCCCAGCCCGGCACGCCGGCTGGCTGTGCAGGGCACCTAGGATGAAAGCGAGCAGATCAGATCAGCCAGGAGCAGTAGTAACTGATGGCTCAGCTTGATGCCTAGTCACAGACACTGACAGACGCCACATTTCTGCTGGCTCCTCAGCCCAGGCCCAGGCCCAGCTTGGCCGACCAGCTTTTCACTGAGAGTTATCACTCAGTGCTGATGCAGGCTGCAGGTGTCCTTTCCAAAGGGCCACAGTACCAGCACCCTCCCCTGAGTCACCAGATGGCCCAGTCCTTCTGGGAAGAAACAAGCTGCATTGTTCGCACCAGGCAGACGGTCACTCATATGGGCCACTGGAATCAGCTACACTCTAGGCCTTGGGTCTCTGTTTCCTTCCCCCAAGTCCTCCATTGTCCCCCGAGGATCTCAGATTCCAGGAGAGGGTTCGCAGGAACATCCTCAGCATGCTGCCAGACTTACTCAATCCCCAAACGATGCTCCAAGCCCTAATTACCCAACTGCTGTGCCAAATGCTCTTCCCACCTTGTTCCATCTTAGTGTTCCTGTCCTTCCTACCTTCAGTCATACACTGCCTTCTACAGAAGTGGGTGCAGATACAAGCCACACCAGAGAGAGAGGGAAAGAAAAAGAGAGAGGGGGGGGGGGGGAGAGGTTGTACAGAGTCTAACATTCTCCTGCCGTCTCCCAGCATCCTCCAAAGAGAGTGCTGCCGCCTAATTTGCGGTCATCAATACTTGTAAATCCTTTCACGTGCTTGTCTTAAATATGCTCCCTGGAGACCAGCATGTCGAGCTCCCTGAGTGTCCAACATCTACTGACAGCATCATGACCTGGTACTGATCTGGCCACAGACACTTCAGTTATGGCGGCTGCCAAAGCCTGAGCTGACTGACGAGTCTCAGATACGCTAAGGAAGGCAACAGGTTCTATAATTTGTGACCCCTGTGTGGTCTCTGATGACAGGAAGTTGTGTACTTGGAAGTGTTCTGCTCCAAGTGTCCTCCTGCTCAGGTAGAGCATGCTCCCCATGTGAGCGTGTAGTAACACAAAGGAGGCTTGAGGGGGAGAAGACAACTGAGTCAGGCTGCCCGCACGTGTGCTTGGAGCAAGGGTAGATGACTGCAGCTGGAAATCTCTAGAATTCAGTTCTTATATACAAGCCTGATGCGGCCCTTCCCAGGACACAGCTGTCCCCAGGCCCTGAAGTCTGGCCTCAGGGAGGTAGACAGGGGCTCTACCTGTTCACTGCAGGGTGGGCTCTGAGCCTGCATAGCTGGTAGCTGGGAAGTGTCTAGGCCCACCTGTTTCCTCGGAAGACAGAGAGGCTTAACAGTGTCCCGAAACAGAAGGTTTTCGTCACTGGCTCTGGGCGTGCTCAGCCATGTAGTGATGGCAGATCTAATGGCCTCTTTGTTAACCTGATTGTGTGGGGACTATTCTGTAATTCCATCACACCCCACACCCCCTTACAAGGAAGAGCCACACTGCACCAGCACCTAGTACAATATGACGTCAGGTATGCCAGGCCTTGGATCCAACACGCAAGCTGGCCTTCCTTGCTGTGCTTTGTGTCTGTTAGTGTCTGAAGAATTTACTCACTAGGAATTTATCATCTCCATCTCTGCAATATGGGAAATACTGTGGCTTTCCTTTGCAGCAAACATCAAGATAATCAAGAATGAAGCGGTAGGAAATTCAGGGACCCACTGACCAATCCAGTGGATTTTCCAGAAGGCAGAACTGGGGTTCTGTCATTGCTAGGCTGCCCGTACGTGGCTTAGCATACTCCAAGTTGTTAACTCGTGTATCTCACAGGTCAGGGATTTAAGGTCATTCTTGCGGGAAATTGATTTTCCTGGCATCAAAGTAGATATTGACCATCAGAGTTTTATCTGAAGACCGCTTCCCTTCACTGGGTTTGCTATAGGGTACAAGTAGGTGGGTTTGTAGGGCCAGGGGCCTGAAGAAGGTAGAGATGTTCAGGGCAGTTATAGGCCTCATCTTATCCCTTAGAGTGGCCCGGCAAATAGACAAAAGAGACATGGACACTCCCACACCACATCTCCCTGTGCTGTGCAGTCACAGCAGAATGGACCCGGCATTTTATAACCGTATAGGAACCAGTCTAAGCAGGGGATTGCAATGACAGAAAGCTGTCACAGGCCACACAGTTCAATGAACCTAGGAAGATAGGAGGCTTAAGTTCAGAGTCCTACAGATACACGTTCCAAGGACTCTGTGGACCTCATATGGAATACATTTGGGTAATGGTGACTGCAGTGTGTGTGTGTGTGTGTGTGTGTGTGTGTGTGTGTGTGTATACACTTCACAGGGCACTGTTTCTCCTAGGCTGGAGCAAAACATCCCACTCACTGGAGGCTCCTGAGGAGGATGGAGGCTGGTCCAGTGCTGAGGAACTCATCAATTCATCTGATGCTGAAGAAGATGGAGGAGTGGGCCCTAAGAAGCTGGTAACTATGGCCTCCCTGTGGTGTCCCTGGCTGGGTCCCTATGTCTAGTGAGGATGCACCCTGGCATGATCCCTCCTTTGCAGCCACTGTTCATCATTTGGAGGTGCTTACTCAGATCACTGTGCACTACCCACAGTCCTGTAGCACCGTGTGTCCCCTGCCTCTGTGAGAGCTCAGGCATGGTTCACCCCTTCTTAAGAGAACGACAGCCCATAGTCATGCATACTTCACACTGGGAGAATGTTCTAGCCAAGCCCATAAAGACAGGTAGTGATGTGGACACATTGCTACACCCATTTTTATTTTTTTAACATGGTCGCAATATGAGTTGGATCATCTCCCCAACACTAGGAGTCTTCCCGTTTAAGCCAGAAATCTCACCCAAACCCCCACAAATGGCAGAACCCCAGCACTGCACTGGTCCTCCTCTTGCTAGTTGTAATGTGGGTGCTGCTGCTAGTGTATAGCCGTGCCACACAGAGATAGAGGACAGGTGTGTTGTTGGGGCTGCTGACGCCAGGAGGGAGGGAGTGCCAACAAGATGAAACCTCAGCCCTACCCCTTGTCACCCTCAGGTTCCGGGTAAATACACAGTGGTGATGGATGATGAGAAGGGGGGCCCTGACACCCTTGCCATGAGGAGTGGGGATATGGTGGAGGTAGTGGAAGAAGGCGCTGAGGGCCTCTGGTAAGATGGCAGTAAGCTCTCCTACTCAGACATGTCCCTGAGACATGAATGACCTGTGTATTCCTATCCCAGACATGACCATGTATGATCCCACCTCAGACATGTCCCTGTGTGATCCTACCTTAGACATGACCTATGAGTTCCCACCTCAGATATGACTTGTATGTTCCCACCTCAGACATGATATGTGTTCCTACCTCAGACATGACTTATGTGTGATCCTACCTCAAACATGACCCTATGATTCCTACCTCAGACATGATCTGAGTTCCCCCCTCAGACATGGCCTTTGTGTTCCCACCTCAGACATAATGTGTGTTCTTACCTCGAACACGTCCCTGTGTGATCCTACCTCAAACATGATTCTGTGTGATTCCCACTTCAGACATGATCTGTGTGTTCTAACCTCAGAGATGACCTGTGTATTCTGACCTCAGACATGCTTCTATATGTTCCTACCTCAGATGTATCCATATGCCCACCTCAGAGGCAGACTGTAGGCATATGGACCATTACAGCCATTGACTTCCTCTTTCAGGTATGTTCGGGACCTGACCAGCAGCAAGGAGGGATGGGTCCCAGCCAGCAGCCTGTCCACCCTCCTGGGCAAATCGAGCTCAGCCCAGTGTCTGAGCAGCTCAGGTAAGACCCACTGTGCGCGCCAGCTGTGCCCTGAGCCTGCCAAGATCCTCAGCCCAGAGCCTGTTTAAAAGCAGAGGGGTTTCTAGGTGTACAGAGGAAAGGGCCAGAGCCGAAGCCTGTCTCCACTGGTTTCCCGCAGACTCCAGCCCAGGGTCAGCCGTGCTGAGCAACTCGTCCAGCTGCAGCGAGGGCTACCCTACTCCCTTCTCCGAGCTCCAGGGATAGTGGCCAGGCCTCTGTGGCAGGCACTCAAGGCCACGTGCAGTAGACCAGCATGCAAATCTCTAAGTTTTTTTTTTCCTGCTTGGGCTTGCTTAGTTTGGGAGGGGATGGTGCTCCAAGGTACCTGGAAACAGAAGGACCTTGTCACCCATGGGCTCCAGAGGACACTGGGGCCTTGGAACCAGGACTCTGCTGCATGTGCGGAAGCCAGGGGACAACAGTTCACCAACGCTTCTTTGAAGACTCCAGAGTGGACAGAGGCGGGGCTATGGGTCAGGAGACCCCTGTGCAGAAAGGTGGGAGATAGCCCTTTCCCACACCTGGGAAGCCAACACTCCTGCTGTGCAGCCTTTTCAAGGTGTCTTGGCCTCTCTGGTGCTTTCTACGGGAACATCATCCTGAGGAAGCTACTTCTAACAGGAGTGAACAGTTTGCTACCAACAGCCTAAGAAGGGGATCAAGGGACTCTTGTCTTTTATAAGTTTTTGATTTTTTTTTTTAAACAAAACAGGGATTAACCCCGTGGCCATTTTTTTGTGGTACTCTGGCCTCAAATCTTTAACCAAGAATCACTGTGTTTACATGAAATGACAATTTGATACTGTATTTGATATAAAACTATTTTTTGTTACTGGGGTTTACATCAAAGCACGTTGTTTATACAACTAACTGATTTCTGGGGCACTCTCACTGAGACCTGGCACTCCCTGGAATGCAGGTGCAGGAAGGCCTGGTAAAACAGGGCCAAGTCCTCCTGGTAAACTGGGGGCGTGTTCTCCACCAAAAGCAGTTGGAAATCACTGAGAGTCTTGCATCTGCATAGGTTTCGTTTTCACAAGAAATGTAAAGTATAATTTAAAACATTAGCCTTCTTTTCTACAATATAAAGGAGACTCTCTGTTTTTTTAAAAGAACATCATTAAATTAGGATATTTTTATTATTTTTAAAGAAAATGTAAAACTCCATGCTGTCAGCCATCCTCAGCAACTCAGGCACTGGCTGCCTCTCCATGTCAGGGCAGGCCCCACTTCCCCTCCCCTAACCCCACCAACCTCTGCCCTACACCAGGAGGGGCTGCAGCTGAGCTTATGGGGGGACGTGTAGCCTCCATTCCAGTCATGGCAGAACCGCCACAGACTGTTGTTTTCCTCTTTTTTGTGTGTTTCAGAAACAAATTCTGTTCTTTGGAAACTCTGTGCCTCGTAGGGCAGATATTTTTATATGTGTGTATATATGTTCACGTGTGTACATATGATCTTGGTGTAAAGGATGTATTTATGGTCTCACGCTGCTGAACATTTGTCACTTTACGGTCCCTCCCTGTCTCCTCACCCTGCTGCCACGGGAGGCCACCGAGGCTCGGTCACCACTGTTTGTCCAGGAAAAACACCCTCCTCCCCTGCCCTATGGCTTGCAAAGCCATTACTGGCTACACATTCAGAGAATGGTAATAAAATACAAAACCTGCAAAGACTTGTAGCATTTCTGGTGTATGTGTTATGTGGCAAGAATCATGGGACATACCTGCACAGCCTGTTTTTAAATGGCCACCCTCTTTTAGGAGCTCATCCTCATGAAGACACTTTAAAATGTCTTCTTTTTTTTTTTTTTTTTTTTTTTGCCAGGCATGGTGGTTCATGCCTTTAATCCCAACACTCAGGAAGCAGGGGCAGGTAGACCTTCTTGAGTTGGAGACCAGCCTGGCCTACATAGGGAGTTCTAAGCCAGCAAGAGCTACACAGTGAGACCTCCTCTAAAAACCAACCAACAAATAAACATCACACCTCATTCAGTGTTCCTTTGACTTTCCACTGCTGCTATAAATAAAAAGTGGATCTCAGAAGTCTTTGTTGTGTGGATGAAGCTTGGATAAAGGCCAGCAATTCCTGCCATCTACCCTCTTGCTGTGAGCCCTGGGCTCCCAGAATGGTTGTCATGAATGCCTGGTATGGCTACTGTAAGACATGAGGCAGAACATGGTAGGATGTGGAGGAAGTGCAGGTACCAAGCATATTTTGATATATGTCTTATTTTATTTTGTCTGACGGTAATGGTGTTAAAATAGTAACAGCACATACTTGTGTGTATGCTGAGTGTGAAGGGGACCAGAGACACGCAGTAGAGGCATTACATG